GAATCTCTTCCTACTGACACACCGCATTTTAGTTTGGTCTCAGAGCCGCCTGCTCTCGCTCAGAGCGACGCATGTGCCGGGCCATCTGAACGACGGCCCAGACATTCTGTCCAGGAACCTCATCTCCTCAGGAGAATGGTCCCTGAACACACAAACGGTCCAAATACTGTGGCGGCTATTCGGCAGAGCAGAGGTGGACCTCTTCGCGTCAGAAGAGAACGCTCACTGCCCAATATTTTTCTCAAGGAGCGAGGACGCGCTAGCCCAGGAATGGCCTCGCCGCCCGCTCTATGCATTCCCTCCGATCGCTCTGCTACCACAGGTAATTCAGAGGATCAGGGACACACGCCACTCGGTGCTCCTCATAGCCCCGCGTTGGGAGAGTCAGAATTGGGTTCCGGAGCTCACTCAGCTGTCGCAGACAGCCCCGTGGCCCATCCCAGTCAGAGCAGATCTCCTCTCTCAGGCTCGCGGCACGATCTGGCACCCCCATCCACGGCGCTGGGCGCTACATGCATGGGTGATCAACGACTATTCGTTGATTTGCCAGAAGGAGTAAGAAACACTATCATACAGGCTAGAGCACCTTCCACGAGAAGGCTCTATGCGTCTAAATGGTCTGTGTTCTCAAAATGGTGCACCGACAAACATCTGGACCCACGGTCATGCGAGGTGCAGTCTTTGCTTGTTTTCCTTCAAGAGATGCTGGACAAGGGCAGGTCCCCCTCCACTCTCAAGGTTTACGTGGCAGCCGTCGCGGCGTTCTCTGAACCCCGACGCGCTCAGTCCCTGGGCAAAGACGAGTTAGTCATCCGCTTCCTCAGGGGAGCTAAGAGGATGAACCCTCCGCGCCCCCCTTCGGTTCCTATCTGGGATCTTTCTATAGTTCTCGAAGCTATGAAAGCACCCCCGTTCGAACCGCTCGAGTCTGTGGACCTAAAATACCTCTCGCTCAAAACCGTTTTTCTGACGGCTCTGTCCTCAGTAAAACGCGTGGGGGATCTTCACGTGCTCTCATCCAGCGCCGCGTGTCTCGAGTTTGGTCCGAATGATTCTGTTGTCATTCTCAAACCTAGACATGGCTATGTCCCGAAGGCGATTGGTACCCCGTTCAGGGCTCAGATTATTTCCCTATCGGCTCTGCCTTCATCCGATAGTGAGCGCGACGCCAATCTCCTCTGCCCGGTGCGGGCTCTGAGATTGTACACTACGCGCGCTGCCGCGTTCAGACGCGCTGAGCAGCTTCCGTTTGGGGGGCGCACCAAAGGTCTGGCCGCCTCTAAACAGACACTGTCTAGATGGATAGTAGACGCTATCGCCTCTGCTTACGCATCTAAATGCCTGCCCTGCCCTCTGGGCATCAGGGCGCACTCCACTAGAGGCATGGCCTCATCGTGGGCATGGTCCTGTGGAATTTCCATTCATGACATTTGTGTGGCCGCGGGATGGGCCTCCCCGTCCACTTTTGTCAGATTTTACAATTTGGAAGTTCCCGCCTTGCAGGCAAAATTACTAGCTGTCTAACGACCAGCTCCCTAAGAAGCTGCATTACTGGGAGTCCCTCACACAACCGGTTCGCCCCTTGTGCTCTCCTTAAATGCTTATACACTTCATGTGCCCGCTCTGCCGGCCTCATACATGCTTATGTATACACTTCATGTGCCCGCTCTGCCGGCCTCATAATACATTCACTCCACGTTAAAAATCCCCCGGTATCACTCTGGGATTCATGAGTGGATTCATAGCGCGCACGGCGTTGACCAGGTGTTCCCGCAGCGTAAGCTAGCTTACGCAATACGAGAGAACCTCTCGTAAGAGAACGAATCGGTTACCTAACGTAACCTCGGTTCTCTCTAGAAGAGGGAACGAGTATTGCGTTCCCGGCCGTGCTTGCGCTACTAGCGTTTCGCTTCACGCTGAAATAAATCAACATATAAGCCTGGGAGAGACTGTTATATACACCATGGCCACGCCCATTCTGGCGGGCCATGACGCAATGAGCGCGCGGGCGCCTCTCATTGGAAGCGGGTTCAGCCCCGCTCTCCCATAGGCTTAAGCAGTTCTCTCTGAGCGAACCAATGAGCTGCTAGCTAGCCTGCTCTAGGTCTGCCGCAGAGGAACTGCGTTGTGTATGGATACAAATTATGAAATAATTTTTGCCTTCAATATCTCAGCAAAGATGAATCTTTCCCGCAGCGTAAGCTAGCTTACGCAATACTCGTTCCCTCTTCTAGAGAGAACCGAGGTTACGTTAGGTAACCGATTCGTTTCACGATACGATTTTCTCACGATTTTTTTAACAAATGAGATTTAAGACAAAAGTGTCCCTTTTATTATTTCTCAGACAAAATGCTACACATTTCTTTTTAATTTAAAAAAATATTTTGTCAAATAATAAAACTACATTAAAAAAAATCCCTTCAAGGTTGTTTCAACTCAGTCTTTCTGTCTGTTTGGTCAAGAGGCTGGACACTGGTACCTTCGCACACTATGTAAAAAACTGTGTAAAATTAGTACCAGATTGACAGGGGTTTTACATTGTAATAAAGGCAAGATTCTAATGTTGTTATAATTATCATTACACTAGTAAGAGTAAAAAAAAAAACACATTTAGAGAAAGAGATAGTAAAATAAATACAACACCTGGTTGCCACGGAAACACTGAAAACGGAGGTGACTGGTGCTTCTCGCGGTGGGGATTATTATTAGTCTACGGAAAGTCAAAATGCCGCCACACCTCCGATTTGATTGAGTCAACGTCAACATCTACGCTTGCCGTCGCCATGTCTACTGTTTGACGGCGCGTGCACACCGGTCGATGGCACACACTGGCGCGGCGCGAGCGGAGCAAACCGAGCGTTTTCACTTCATTCCTATGGAAGTTGAGCTTGGCTCACACAAGATTCAAGTTCCATGAATAAAGTGAAAACACTCGCTAGCTTCACGCCAGTGTGTGCTCGCTGCTATTGTGCCTGTAAAGCGAGGTTCACAACTTCACAGTAGGCTATTCAGTAAACGGCGACGCCCCTGCTGTTTAAAACGTGTATCGCGATTCGTTTAACATTTCAACCGACTTGAATCGTCACACATTTTTATCGATTTTCAACCGGTTGCCAGTGAATCGTTACATTCCTAGACTGTATTGATTCATTTGAATCAAATGCGTTATTCTTGACGGCTACTGGAATTAGTAACATGTAGAGACAAATACTCTTCTGTAATCTATACATTTTGTGTATGTGTGTGTATATATTTTCCTTTTGAGGCGTGCCCTTATTTGAGGAACCGTAGATGTAATGTATGACTGGGCAGTCGTACCATTCTGCGGTGTCGGTTTTAAATAATATCCTGTAAGATTTGACTTTTTTCATTTTCCTACATTTGTACTAGTTTCAAAAATCTTTCTTCTCGCATAATAAAATCATTTTAACGCACTTTAATGTCCTTTTGATAAGCAACCAAAAGAATGCTGTTAATCATCAAGGAAACAGTAAAAAAATAAATAAAAGCGGTTGTGATTTACAGCGCCTCAGTGATATGGTATCATAGCCTAATGTAGATCTCGTCTGAACTTGTTTAATTAGTTACTGATGCAGTCATTTAGGGAAGTTGACGGTTACTGAAACGGAGAGAGAAGCAGAAGCTGGTCAGTGTTGTTATTGCGATTCAGTCACATCCTCTCTGTAGCGTTTGTTTTTGTAAGAGGTGTGTATGTTTGCAGTCAGTGGTGTGTTTTTACGTCTCAGCTGTCCGTGTTTCAGCAGAAAACTGCTGTCATTAGTTGAAGCGTCTCATCAGCACAAACGCTGGACCTGTCAGAAGCGTAAAGAGCTGAGCTCTCCACTTCACATGCTAACGCTGGGAGATCTGAAGAAGACTGAGAGATGGGGCTGCGTGCTCATTTTCTCCCTTAAGATGTCTTCATTGCCTCCCTAAATGAGTTCATTATTGCACATTTCATTTTGAAAATTTGTATACTGCTTTTTATACTATTTAGTCTCTCTCTCTCTCTCTCTCTCTCTCTCTCTCTCTCTCTCTCTCTCTCTCTCTCTCTCTCTCTCTCTCTCTCTCTCTCTCTCTCTCTCTCTCTGTGTGTGTGCGCACTCAACCTGCTAACTTCACTCTCAGCCCATCAAATTTTGCCCTTTTTAAAAATAATGAACGAACAGGAAAAGTTTGGGTCAGGAGGGCAAAATTGAAAAGCACAAAGACTCAACATATCAGAACTAATTTATTATTATTATTCACAAATTATGCATCCAAATGTACAGATGAGCTGTGATTCAGACTACAAATTTCATGGTTAGAATATATTCAAAACTGTGTATGAGGTCAAGTAAACTTGCAACACAGAATCCGTGGAGTTGTGGACAATAGGTTTTAATACCCCATTATTTTGATTCAGCATTAAGACATTTTCGAACTTTTTTTACTGTAATAATTATTAGTGTTCCGTGACTATCTAAACAAATGTGAAGCATTTTGTAATAGGGCGCAATAAAATATGTAGTCCCTTAATGATAATAATATTAATATAGTATTATGAAGTCTATTATTATAATTTACTAGTAATAGCAAATCCATGTATTATAATACAATCTTAATATTAATGTTTGTAATGCAGTCTAAATTATTATTATTATTAATAATAATCAATAAAAATACATTTTATTAATAATAGTAGCAAATTAATGTATTAATACAATCTAAAACAACAATATTAATATTTGTATTATTAGTTTAACATTTTAATTAATATTTTATCGTAAATTTTTTTGTGATTCAGCCTAAATTATTATGATTATTATGAATTATACAAATGAATGTACTTAAGTATTACATTAATATGTATTGTTTTATGTTGGGTGAGAGGGGATGGTGGAGAGTGCTGTATTGACCAGTTGTCAGCATGGACCTGAATGGTCCGTTTTATTTTGTTTTTGAACGTTTTTCAGTCCTGTATAATGAATTCCTAATTGTCTTTTTTTATTTATTTTTAGGACATACCCTATAAAGGACGTCCCGCTAGAGTCAGAAGCACTGGCAGACTGGCTATATCAGCGATTTGTTGAAAAGGAGGAACTTCTGGCTCACTTCTACAAGACAGGTACTTTGATAAGTTTCCCCGGATCTAGATGTGTGTGTGTGTGTGTATATACACATCCTTCCTTCAACTAAAACCCATCTCCTCCTTTCTTTCAGGAGCTTTCCCTCCACCAGACGGCCAAAAAGAGATGCTCTCCCGAAATATGACCCTCGACAACTCCTGGCTGTTTTTAGTCCAAACGTTTGCCTTCGCCTCGGGCTACATGTGGTACAGCATTCTACATCACATCTACTGCTGGTACTTCTGACCGCTCTGAGGAGAGCGAAGCGCGCAGGTCGGGAGGAGACAAAGAGCCCCGAATGCCATTCTCCTCTGCCGGATGGTTGAATGTACCCCGCAGGACGACTCCAGTTGCTGTATCCGATCGCGGTCCCCATCCTTACTTTGGACAGTCACATCCACCCAGTCCCAGCCGCCCATGCGTCTATCCTTTAGAGTTGCGTAGAAACCAGTTCAACATGTTTACACATGTGCGCTAACATGCAGAGAGAAGATTATGCACATCTAAATGTTTACTCATGCACATGTGGACACGCCTCATTTTTTTTTTCTTTTTTTTTTTACAATCAAAATTAGGCTCAGGAATAAGCCAGAGATAGATCTGTCACGTCCTCTCATTTCTCTCATTTCCTGCCATGTGAGCTCCACCCCCTTTTTATCGTGAACTCCCAAACAGGATGACTGAAGTTAGTTTTCAGAGACTGCTGTCCTCTTTGGAAGAGCCTCCTCTGGCCTTCATTGCACTATGAATCCTCGTCGCCCCCCTCCCCCAACGGATTTCTTCTTCCTCGTGGCTGTTTCGTCTCATGTTGACTGGATGCCGTTTTTCTATGTGTATTGTCAGTATTGAGAGACGGTGGAACGATTGTGTTGTTTACACTGACAAAAGGGGGATTCGGTCTCGGAAAACATGTCGAAGACGAACCCGGTTCTTATTTTAGAACCTATAAAACAAGGAGACTGCATCCTCTAGGGGACTTTTACACAATCAACGCCATACAGACACATCCAAGCGCACCACATGACTGCCACACGACCGATTCGATAGGACTAATACCCCTCCCCTCCAAAGTTTTACAAATACTAAGCCATATGCTTATCTTAGGGTCAAACGGGGGCGGACATTCTACTGACTGAACTGTTGTGTTTGTTCATTGTTCAAAAAAAAAAAGAAAAAAAAGATTTTAATTTGTTGATTTTTGAGTCAATTGGTCTCATTTCTGTAAATGTGACAGCATAACCTGCCTGTGTGATTGTGTGCGACTGCCCGTTTCTTTTTTCTTTATATTTTTTTCTAGATGCACATAATGCCTGGTAGCTTCATGTTATATCAGAGTGTTGGCAAATATCTGTTTAATAGTTGAGATTTGACTTCCTTTTCCCCCTCATTCTGTGGTTCATCTTGTACAGAAAGGAGTCGAAACGAGTTGTAACGGGTCCCGAGTCGCTTTCTGCGTTTTTACTTCTGAAATATCATGAATGTTGGAGGGAAAGGCAGTTAAAGGAGCTTCTGTCCCGGCAGGTGCTTTACATTTGCTCTCAGTATCTGAGCGTCACCTCGTCTGCCATCCGCTGTCTTCTGCGGCGATCGCTCATCAAAAAGAAACCGTCTTAAAACTGCTGCCACACAGAAGGGATCAGAGGCGTAGATTCAGTTTTGTGCCGAGGCACAAAAGATTTTAGACTAGCTTTAGACTATCTTGAGAAGAATGGAAACATTTTCCTCGAGCTTGAGACAGAATTGCATTTTTCATGTGTGAAATTGGGTCTGTTTGTTTGTGTGTGTGTGTGTGTGTGTCGATGGGGAAGGAATGCCATGCTTGAGTCCGTCTACGTGTCAGTGGAATATGGGTGAGGTCCAGCAATAATGTACTCAAACATAAATGCCCATGTTGTGGCGTTCTAAAGAAAACGATGCTTAGATGTACAAATTAGACATTTGTAGATGAAAACATTGCACCGTAACTGTCATCCCACCATTAACCCGAAGCCATGTCGTCTGTGAAAGTGAACTTTGTTTCTATAGCTTGCCAGATTGAAATGTGTATGAAGCCAGAAGACTAAAGCCAAGTTAGATGCGGACTGCATTCAGAGCAGGCTTACGTCACCGTGAACTTCACCGCGAGGATCCCACACACTGGGGGTTTCTCGTTTCGTCAGATGGAGACGTAACATTGTATGGTTTTATGTTTAAAAAAAGAAAAAGAAAAGTGTGATATATCTATATATATTAGCGATCTAACCAAATTACAATAGAATGGTCCATAATTTTCATTTTGTACTCCTGTTTTTCTCTTCCTAGCTACCCAGCCATTTTACAACACACAAATTAATTGTGCTGGAATAAAAATCATGCGCAGCAGTGAAACACGGGCTCTTCTCTGAGTGTTATTGATCTGAAGCATTCAGCAGAGTCGCATCTTCTGACCAGTCAATGTCAATCTTCACAATAACATGCACAGTAAAACATGGATCATTCATTAGATCAAATTAGGGATTATAACAAAATGTTGCCTGTGTGTATTGCACTTTATGTTCAGAAGAGCAGACCGATTTTGCCCTTTCTGTGGATAGGGTTCAAATCGGTTCAATTACTTTAGCAATACAAAGCACAAATCCCATCCGCTGAGAGACATGTTAACATTAACATATCATGAAGATAGTTCACCTGACACATCAACAATATATTCAATTCAAATAGTATATCAAGTCACAGCCTGTTGAATTGTATTCAGTTATTTATTTTTAAATTTGCACAATGCAGAATTTCGTTAGGTTCTTTTTTGTTTAGAGCCTTTAGCTTGGATTTCATACATTTTTGCTTATTTAATGCGTATTGCTAGAAAATAAGGGTTTTGTATTTTCAGACTTTTCTCAGTTTGGTAACAAGGTTGTAAAAACCTGGTTTAAAAGAATTAACCTAAAAAAAATGTGTATATATATATATATAAAGATGGAACATTTTAGTTTTACATTCCGCGGTAGAAAAACATTCTTTTAATTGTACAATTATGACCAAAAATGTTGTACCCTGTTCATTGAAAGCACCAGTTGCTTTGGTTACTTATGTTCACAATCATATCTAATTGTTATGTCTTTTGGTAATGTTTTATTGGAAACACAATTTATGGAGGTTGACTGAAGCAAGCTGTAGTCTTGAACATGCTGAAATATAAAACTTTCTGCAAACTTGAAATCTCACAAAGGTGTTAACAATAATGAATGAAAGTTAAAGACTAATGGTGAGAGGTGCCCCATTTCTAAAAGGGTAAAGTCCATTTTGTTCTTTCATCCCTGCTGGAAGTGGTTTTCTTGAAATAAATGGATGTTTACACTAGAGCTGTACAGATACATTTGGAAGTGTCCACCAAAACTGACATCCTGACTTAACTACTACCGGGATTTTATGTGTGCCAATAACCAGTCAGATCTGTCTCTTCATGTGCTGTAGCCTACCTTTAATTCTGGGATGATTCTATTGATAAATAGCTTATAACCATCTGCTCAACATATAACACGTGAAATGAATAAGGAAATGATAGTTCATTTCTAAAGTAACGGATAAAGTGTGAAGGGTCATGTTATGGAGGAAAAAGGGAGTTTCCGGATGAGACGTTCCGTTCATACTGTCCTTTCGCTGATGTGGCCAATAACATTTGAAGCGCACAGATGCACATAACCAATCACCTGAGACTCATAATTCATAACAGCTTTAATCATGGATCTATTCAAATGAACTGAAGTTGTCTTCTCTCTGTCTCGCTGGCTATAAACTCGTCCAGTGAACCTTTTTTGGGCTGAAACGGGGCTTTATGTGATCTTTGGTCCTCCTGCCACACCCACCGAGCAGCGCGATGAACACACACACACACTGCTGCCACCAGGCGGAGGAACGGTCAGTGTGCAGCAGGTCCAGTCAGTGGCGGGCGCAGAGGTCAGTCTGCAGACGCTACGCTCCTCAGGAGGAACGTTAGCCTTTCTTTTTTCTTTTTCAAATCAAGCAAATCATGTAACTTGAACCTGGTTTAATAAAACAACGAAAATCATACGCGTCAAAAGATAGGGGAGAGCGGGGCTAGTTGTAGTTTATACTTTCACACATGCTAGCATGACCAGTGGCGGATTTAGCAAATTGGGGGCCCAAAGCGAAGGTACGTATGGGGGCCCCCCATCCCATCTTTATGAAAAGGGGAAAAAAAAATTACTGACTGAATGGTAGGAAAAGCTAATCTACGGGGAAGTAAAGGTTGGAGAGGAGAAAAAAAAAACTTCCCCAAAAGAGAATAAGGTTTCAGATAATACCTGTCTTTGCCAAAATGCCAGGAAACCCAGCACTGTTTATTCTTTTTTTAAGATCAAATCAATATCAATATAACCAGCAAGACACATAGTTAGGGTAAACCCCCACAAACAGCCATATTAGCAAATATTGCCAAGATGAATAATTGACTTTGTATGAGGTTGCAATTGGCATTGCACATGAGATTGACATTTAAAACATTCTACAAACAAACATTTTTATAGGTTTATATTAGTTTATATATTTTATAATGTAATAATTTCACAGTTAATCTACAAATGAATGTAGAGACAACATAAAGACAGTATATTTTAAATACTTGTTTAATGGCATCTTTTTATGAATGAAGGTCATTATCACTGATACTAATACAGCTATTGATGTCTGGGTAAAAATGATTTTTCCCCCCTAATTTTAAACATTAATTATAGCAGCCATCCAACATTACAGTGTAATTGAAAGCCAAAAAATTTAAATTTTGTTAGGCTTCAAAAAATATATAACAACTTTTAATTTACGTGAACTTAAAACAATCATCAGATAAACCCATAATAAATGTCATATTTACTTTTGCCCTTTCAGTATAACAGTAACGTTATAACTTACACGTTATCCTCAACTAGCGTCGCTTCACAGCTGCTGCTGAAGCGGCATGTGTCCCCAACAGTAGGCGTAAAAAAGTTTGTCATTTTTGGCAGCTTTGCCAAATACATATCGGCCTCTTTTTTTCTTTTATTTGAGCCGCTTGGGTAACTTCGTTTCATTTTCGCGTTTAGACTCGTCTTGCTTCGTTGTGTACTTCCCAGTCATGTTTATCTTTCGCGGTTTCGCGCCGCGCGCCGTTCGGACTAGTCCATTTTATTGCGAAAGTTTTTTTATTGCGAAGTTTACACCCCCTGTGTTATGTGTAGGGACAGATAACCATGAACTGGACATTTTAACTACTACTTTAACATTTCAACGTATTTCTTAAGAATATTAATAACATTTACTATGCCTTTGAAGCGTTCATGATGATAAGGGGCTTTTTCTTTTCTTTTATATATATTTTTTTGAGGTTGGTTGGGGGGCCCCCCTACTACGACCGCTGGTAGGGGGCCCCAAGCAGCCGCCTACCTATGCCTCTATGTTAAAGGGGGTCGCACACCGGACGAGAAGCGCAGCGCAGCGCCGCGTCGCGCAGCTAGCCTCGTGAGACCATCCTGATCTCGCGAGCTTTCAAGGTTTCACTCGCAGATCAGTCTGGATACTTTCCGTTAAAGAAAAGGCTTGTTTGAGATGCGCCTTGCCTCGCCTGCAATGTAGTCGAGAGTAGGCGGCTGCAGTGAGAGGAGGAGTGAAAAAAGCGCAGGCAAGCCGGACAGATCTCGCTTCTCGCAGTGGATCAGACACCTGTGAGATCAAAGGCGGATATCGCGGGATTCACGGGATTCACGCCCGTGCACGGTGTTGCTAATAAACTGGATGTAATTGAAGTTTTGTTGCTTGAATATGAAAATAAATATAAGGAACAAGACACCCAAAGTACTTATTTAATTCCATTTTAAATAGGCCTATGTGTTTATCAATCATTTTTTCTTTAATACAGATATGTGTTTTTATTTTTTATTTGTATTTTTCTAAATTACATCACATAGATCACACTGTCAGAGAGTTTGGGAATATCCACACATAATTTATACACATAAAACATGATATCAGAGTTTTAAAATCAAACATTTTAAAAGAGAACAATACATCACGGTTGTTTAAACCAATGAGCATTAAGCTGTGTCGTCAGCAAGTCGTTTCCCATCGTGCTTTTGATCAGCGCAGTCGGTGGAGAGCAACTGCGTGCGACTGCAGAATCCGACACGTGCGCCTTGCGGTCGCGAGAGTTTTTTGACATACGTCGGC